CCCTGTGCGCCCACCTCTCCAGGGCTACAACGGGCAGGAGAAGGTCTACATCGCCACCCAGGGCCCCATGCCCAACACCGTGTCGGACTTCTGGGAGATGGTGTGGCAGGAAGGAGTGTCGCTCATCATCATGCTTACTCAGCTACAAGAGGGCAAGGAGGTAGGATGCAGAGCCACCGTCCCTGGTGAACCCAGACAGGGCTATGCCCCGCACCTACACCCTTTCCACTCAGGGCTCCCCCGGGAGCTGAGAGCGCCTGCAGCCAGGGCCAGCTCCCTCCTCCCAGAAAGGTCCCGAGATACACTGAGATACACCCCACGGGGCTCTCCAGCCGGGATGGGGCTGCGGTGAGCACTTCCTCTGCAGGTATTGGCCTCAGGGAGCCCCCGCCACGGGGAGCGGGAGGCGCGGGGACCCCAGCCCCCTTCCTGCGGCGCTGGCCCTGCTCCAGCTGATGGACCCCTCCCCCTCTGACTGCCAGCTGCCTCCCCCCTAGAAATGTGTCCGCTACTGGCCCACCGAAGAGGACACCTACGGGCCCTTCCGAGTCTGCAGCCGGGAGGAGGAGGAGCTGCCGGAGTACACGGTGCGGCGGCTGGCCCTGCAGGTAGCGGCCAGTGCGTGGGCGTCGGGCTACGCCCGCTCCTCCGGGGACTCGGGTCGACCCACGGGGAGCCAGGGTGTCCTCACCTGACCCTCCGCGAACCCCGCCCGAAGAAGCCGGAGGCTCAGAGCGAAGTCCTCGGGCCTCCTGTCTAACAGAGCGGAGGCGACATGCCCAGCGGGGATAGTGGGAGGGCCCGGCCTGCGGGGCGCGAGGCGGGGCCCCAGAGCCGCTGCAGGAGCCTCAGGAGGTCCCCGAGCTGGCCACCACCGTGTGCGAACATGCTCAGAAGTGCGCTCCATCACTGGACACCGCTTCATACTTGCCTGAGCGTTTCGCCATCGGCTCACTGGCCTCCCAGCCTCCGGGGAGTGACCCAACAGACATCACGGTCCCTTTCCTAGGAGAGACCTGAGCAGTCACGTGCCACTTGGAGCCGAGGGCTGCTTCCCCTCTCCCGGACGGTGCCCCCGCACTGGGATTTTGGAGGAGAGGGTGGTGGCGGGCCATGAGCAGGAAGAGCTGACCTCACCAGCTCGGGGACCGTGACCAGCTCCGGGGGGTCATTGTGGCTTTGCCCTCCCCAGGCACCCTGACCCGGTCCCATGCCTTGTCCCCATGCCAGCACCAGGAGGAGTGCCGGTCGGTGAAGCATGTCCTGTTCTCGGCCTGGCCTGACCACCAGACCCCTGAGTCGGCCGGGCCGCTGCTGCGTCTGGTGGCCGAGGTGGAGGACAGTCCGGAGGCGGCCGCCAGCGCCAGGCCCATCGTGATCCACTGCAGGTATGTGACCCGCCCTCCCCACGGCCCAGGGGCCAGGCCCCTGCCCCATCAGGCCTCTCCCAGGAGGGGTCTGAGCAGAGCAGGGCCAGCAGGCGCTGCACTGACGTGGACGGGAGTCTCTGGGTCAGCCAGCACCCCGTCACCCCGCTTCAGGCAGCACCTGGCTCTGTGGGCTGCACACCAGGCACCATCCGGGGCCGGGCGGATGTCAGGGGCTCCCCACGTGCCGGGGCGGGGAGAGGCATGGCCTCTGCTGACAGGGACCTCGCTGTTCACCCGACGTTTGCTGGAGCTGTGTCCGGCAGGCACAGTGTGAGGAGCTAAGGGGACAGCGTGACCAGGACGCTCTGGATTCAGAGACAGGGGCATAGCCTGGGGGGAAGAGCAGACGTGAGAGCTGTGACGGGGGCGCGGCGTCACGGGGTCGCGGGGTCGCGGGGTCACGGGGGCGCGGGGCCACGTCGCCCAGCCCAGGCTGTGGCCAGGGAAGGTCTTCTAGGACAGGACAGCTAAGCTGAGCTAAAACCTGAACGGTGACGAGGGGGAGGTGAACAGCATGTGCCAAGGCCCCAAGACAAGAGGTGCCAACGCCAGTGACTGCGAGAAGTTAGAGGCTGGGTGCCTGGGGGTCGCACGGGGCCGGGGACAGGACGGCGGGAGGCTGGGATGCGCCGTCTCGTCTGCAAGGCTACTCTGGCTCTCGCGGAAAAGTCGGTCGGGGTGGGGTGGGACATGCAGGGACGAGCCTCTTACGCAAAGCGGAACAGGCAGCGAGGACAGGCAGGGGCTCGTGACGCCGCACGCGGGCGGCCCCTGCGCCTCCGCGCGGGAGGTGGCAAGTGGCTTCCGTCCGGGTCCACACAGGATGCCTCCCGAGGGAGGTTTGAGGCAACAGAGAGCAATGGAGGGAGCTGGGGAAGGGACGGAGGTGGGGACGGGCGCTGAGTGCCAGCGGGTGGAGGAGTCTGCGCTGGGGGCGTCACAGGGCGTCACAGCCAATAAGGGTGGCTCGGGGGTCAGCTCCATCCGTCCGAAGCCGCTGTCGACCGCTAAACGGCAGACAGACAGTGGTGACACAGCCACGCGGGCCCGCGGGCGACGGGACATGCGGACCGAGGCCAGAAGGGACGCAGCCCGTCCCTCTGCCCCCAGCCCGGGCCCCACGCCCTCAGCCCTCAGATGGAGTGGCCTTAGCTCCTGCCGCTTTCTCTATAGTTTGGGGCCAGGTCACCTGGGACTTTTCCAGTCACTGGTGACCTCCCACCCCCTCTCCCCAACTACGTCCAGTGCAGGGATCGGCCGGACTGGCTGCTTCATTGCCACTCGAATAGGCTGTCAACAGCTGAAGGCCCAAGGAGAAGTGGACATTCTGGGCATCGTGTGCCAGCTGCGGCTGGACAGGTGGGTCCATGGTGCGGGGAGGACCAGGAAGCCTGAGCAGCACTCACAGGCCTGCACAGCACCATCGGGCACTTCTTGCGAGACAGGAAGGGGCCCCTTCTGCTCCCAGAGCCTTCCGCTGGCCACTACCGAACACCAGGGAGGAGCCTCTACCTGGGGCTTTAGCGGGGGGCCTGGAATGAGACACGCTCCTCTGCAGCTCTGTCCCAGCCTTCAGCATCTCCGTTTTTGTTTTTCCCAAACCCCTTCCCCGGGAAAGGGGGCGGGGTATGGTGGGTTCTGGACACTAGCTCACTGGATATGGGGACCGGGGAGCGAATTCTGACTGGCATGTCACCGAGCTGTTCCGGTGTCCCTCTGGGCCCCTTTGGGGGACTGAGTTGGCACATGTGAACCTGGCCTGGAAACACGAGAACCCCCCACGCACTTTCAGACCACTGGGAAGAGGACGCCTTGGGTCTGTCCCTCCGGTGGTCAGCGTGGGGGTGTCCCCTGCGGCTCAGCGCACCAGGCTCGGCAGGATCCGGGATCGGGGCCTCCTTGGTGGGGTTGGGGGTCTGAGTGCAGAAGGAGAGGAGTGGCTGTGAGAGGGGGCAGGTCCCTGGGGAGCCAGGGTCGCCCTGACTCGCGGTCTGTGCTTGTCCCGCAGGGGGGGCATGATCCAGACCACGGAGCAGTATCAGTTTCTGCACCGCGCCTTGGCCCTGTACGCGGCCCAGCTGCCTGGGGAGCCCAGCCCCTGACCCGGGCGCCCCCGTCCAGCCCCGGTGCCCCCTACGCCCGCCTGAGAAGGTGGGTCCGGAGAAAGCAGGCTTTGCCACCTGAGCCCCCCAGTGGGCATGGGGACCCCCTCAGCGAGCGTGTGCAGCAAGGACCGACGCCAGACTCCTCTGCTTCCTCGAGCGGCCCCAAGTGGACCCAGGGGGAACCCCCTCGTCTCTCTGAGCTTCAGGACGGGAGCTGACATCTCAACAGATCTGAGAGGCACTGGGGTATCTTGAGCTTCGGCCTCTGCATGTCCGACGTTTGGGGCTTTGCTGCCATTGAGGGAAGGCAGTCAGAGAAGTTCTAGACACCGTTCCAGCTGCACCCCCTTCCTGGGCTGGCCAGAGTGAGCCCACACCAGGCCAGACGCCAGGCTGGGAAAAGTCTGGTCATGACCTTGGCCAAGTTGTCAACATCCAGGCAGTGACTATGTAGATGCCCCCGCCCAGGGAACAAGGACCCAGACTCACCCCGAACCCACACATGTGTCTTAGGAACAGGCTGCAGAGGTGACCTGGAAGTCAAAGTCTCTTCAAGAGGGGACATGGGGACCCAGCAGAGGCCTGGAGGGTGCCTGTCCATTCGCCACAGCTGCTCCCCAGGGAGGCCTGGCACCCTGTCCTCCCTTCGTGACCTCAGAAGACACCCTGGGCACCTTGGAAGCACAAAAGGAAGACAGAGTGACAAAGAGCACCACCCCTCGTTTGCAGAGGATGTCGGGGAGCTGGTTGTTCCCATGACAACCGTGGTTCAGCCTTCCATGCAGACCTGGGGCTCAGACCGAACCTGGCCCTTAGTCTACCCGGACGACGACCCCTCACCTCGGCAGCAGCCCCGTCCCCAGGGCTGCACAGCCCCGGAAGGCAAGCAAAGCCCTCATCCTGGAACTCGAGATGTGCTGCCCACAGGGACGGGGGGACATGGCGTCCCGGGCACTCAGCCCCTGAGGTGGCCTTTGCTGATGCCAGCTCTCCACAGAGTCGTCCTGGGGACCCGAGCCTCACCGAGGAACCCGTCCCCCTCACAGCACGCCACGCTGTGCCCCCCGAGGCTGGGCCGAGGGCTCTCCAGTGCCCGGCATCGGCCCACGACCCCCTCCCTGGGCGCGCAGCGCCTGCCCTGTGCAGGACGAGAGGGAAAAGCAATCGAGTGGGAACATAAAGGGTCTGAGCGGTCGCTTCAGTCTGTCTGGCCGCGTCCTTCTCCGGCCTCTGAGGCCTGTTCACAGAGACAGTGAGGGAGGCCACAGACCAGGAGCGGCCGCCTCACATCCAGGGACGGGCCCTTCCGGGGACAGGAGGAGCAGGGTGATAGTCAGCTCAGGAAGCGGGGCGCGGTGTGCCCCGGGAGCTGGAGGGGACCTGCCCAGGGCAAAGGCCGAAAAAGCGACGCCCAGGAACCCCAAGGATCACACTGGGCCAGGGTATGACTGCCCCATCCTGGCCATGTCATCGCCGGCGGGGCCTTGGTGGGTGTGACAGAGATGGCTGACACCCTTCATGCACCTTTGCCTCAAACAATAGGCTACATGTGAGCACATGTGACAACCAAGGACTAGAGAGCTCCAGTGTAGGCTGTGGACAGCCCTGCAGCCTGCCCTGGAGGTGCAGCAGGCCCCGGGGTCAGGTCCCTCGAGGCTGGACATCCTGGCAGGCCTATGTCCCCACCGTCAGTTCTGCTCCTGAAGGAAACTGGTTTTTACCAAAACAGGCCAACTTTTTCATTTTCCACAGATCTCCCTCCCTCGACCCTCACCCCCGCCGCCCCCGCAGGGTCTTTCTGTTGAAGTGTCCGGTGACGTGAGTAAAACTCCGCATCGGCCTCGGGCAGCCCCTCCACTTGGGCCAGAGCATCCTAGACCCGTGGTTCCGGCCACTGCAAGCGAGGCCAGCCGCTGTGGGAACGCCCGGCTCGCAGCGGCCCTCCGCGGGGCGCGTTTGGGGGCGCTCGGGGGACACAGACGCTCACGGGCGGATTCAGGGAACAAAGCGTCCATTTCCTCCCCTGACAGCGGCCCGGCAAGTGGGTGAACCGCCCTGGCCGCCCCAGAAACGAGCCGCGTCACCGGCGCCGCGCGCGCCGCGGCCACACCCGCTAGGAAG